TGGAGACCAGGCTGGCTTCGAACTCACAGAGATCCACCTGCCTCTGCCTCCTGAGTGCTGGGATTAAAGGCGCGCGCCACCAACGCCCGGCAATTTCACCACTTTCTACTTGGTATTATAACTCTGTATGTCTTATCCTTTAGTTCCTAGGGGCCATGTCTGCTTTTATTTGTTTTGAATTCATCATTATGCTCAGTAACATTTTTTTAAATGAGATTAACAGTTGAAGAGTACTTGCATAATTTTTGTTTGCATTAGATGGAATTTTAAGAGCAGTATTCTCACCTTTTATTTTTTTCCTACTTTCAGTGGTATGCAATCTGCATTAGTGATGTTGGAGACTATGAAGGCATCAAGGTTAAGATTGCAAATGCCTACATTATCAAGGAACATTTTGAGGTACTGATTTAAGTTTATGAATTTAAAAAGTCAGTATTTTCCTGAGTGGATGTGTTTTAGTTACCAATTATTGTATACAGAACAGGTTACTTCATGCTTATAGACCAACTTCTTGAACAGCATGAGATTACTTGTGCCTGAGAGTAGGGCCTATACAAGGAAACAGAACAAGACCTATCTTATTTTAAAAAGCACAGCCACAGCCCAGTGGGACAGAGCAATAATAGTTTATTATTTCTTCCAATTTTCTGAGTCAATTTAATGTATTAATGCTTCGGTCTTGCTTCGTAGAGCTATAGCCATTTATATGCTTTACTTAGCTAGGATGGGAAATTCAAGATGGCCTCTCATCTATCTTAGTTCCTCTTTACTTGTCCTGTTGTTTAGGGGTCTAGCCCAAACTTCTCTAAGTATGAGAGATGGCCTTCAAGAGTGAATGCTCCAAAAGAAAAGTTCCAGTATACAAACTCTTTCAAACCATTTGTAACACAGCTGACAACACTGTATTGAATTTAAAGTTTGCAGTCTGCAGTGGCACATGTCTTTAATCCATGAACTCAGAAACAGAGATAGCTAAATATCTGTGAGTTCAAGACCATTCTGAGAGACACTGTCTCTAAAAAAAAAAAAAAAAAAAAAAAAAACACATTCTAAGCCAGTCTATGGAAAGTTTTGAATGCCCGATGGTTAAAATATAAGTTTAATCCAACAATAATTTTGTTTAAGATTATGCTATGTGTATTTTATGTTGTTTCCTAAAGTTAATTTACTTGTTTTAATAGTTTTTGTTCAATGGTAAAAATTACGCAGAAATCTATGTATTTCATAATATGTGCACACTATTTCATTATTCTTACACAGAGAACAAAACTACCACAGAAATGTTCATAATAAAAATCTTTTATTATTGTAGATCATTTCAAATTATACAGGAACAGCACAGATAGGAATGGGCTGGGTAAGCTACTTGGTAACTCTTCAGAAGCTGACAGTTACAAGTCCCAGTTTCTAGCTTATATAATTACTAGAGAAAGATAACATTGGACTAGGAATCAGGACACCTAACTTCTTAAACAAGCATCATTACATTTTACAAGTTGTTTACATGTCCTGTATGTTAATATATCTGAATTAAGATTGTGCCACAGAATTAGTGTTACCTTATAAATTGGAAGTACTCTTTAGTTTTCTTTAATAAATATGAGTGTTTTGTCTGTGCATATGTATTTGCACCACATGCATGCGGTGCCCAGAGGGGTCAGAAGAGGGTGTCAGAACCCGGAACTGTAGTTACAGATGGCTGTGAGCTGCTACAAGGGTACTGGGAACCAAACCCAAGCAAGTCTTTTGCAAGAGTAGCTTGTACCTTTTACTACTGAATCATCTTTCCAGCTCTGGAAGCAGTATTTTTATTCTTTGTAAAACAGTATATAAAATGATTTTGTGCGGCAGGCCGTTGGTGGCTCATGCCTTTAATCCCAGCACTCGGGAGGTAGAGGCAGGTGGATCTCTGTGAGTTTGAGACCAGCCTGGTCTACAAGAGCTAGGTCCAGGCAGCCTCAAACAGCCACAGAGAAACCCTGTCTTGAAAAACAAAAACAAAAACAAAAACAAAAAAAGATTTTTTTGCCATATTGATTGGGGGGGTGGATAACAGAAAGATTTTTTCTTTAATATTCAATTAAATTTGATAAAAGTACTTACTTATCTTTCCTTTTATCTTAAACAGTAAAAACTGTACTTAAATATTTTCTGAATTATAGATTATTTTTTTATATAGATTTATTTTTGTGGGTTTTCTGATCTAAACAAATTTCTGAAATTTGTAAAATATATCTTTAGTATAAGTATTTAATAGTGTATTGGAACTACTTTAACCAATTAAGAATATGGGAGTGAGGAGATGGCTGTCTATAAAATATTTATCATGAAAGCAAGAGGACTTGAGCTTAGCTACTAAGTATCCATGACAAATGATGGGCTGAGGCAAAGGCAGGAGGATCCTAGGGGCTATTGGCCAGCTGGTGTAGCCAGTCAGTGAGCTCCAGGTTTCGTAAAAGACCCTGCCTTTAAAAACAAGGTGCAGAATGATTGGAGAGATATCTGGCTTCAGCCTCTCACCTAAACACATATAAACACATATGGGGGATGGAGGGGGTGAAGAGTGGGAGAGTTTATCCTGAGGCAAAAAACTGTTCTTGATTACAATGCAGGTTTGGGGCTAGAGAGATGGCTCAGTGGTTGAGTGCTGAGATTGTTCTCCCAGAAGACCTGAGTTCAGTTCCCAGCACCCACATTAGATGACTTCAGCTTCAAATGGCCCAACACCCTCTTCTAGCTTCCATGGGTACCTGCACATATGTGGCATTTACACACACACACACACACACACACACACCTTCAAAATGCAGGGTTATACTTCTTTTTTAAAATTCACTGCTTCTTTGGTGTTTAGAAAGATTTTATTTTTTAACAGAAAGCAATTGAACTGAACCCTAAAGATGCTACTTCAATTCACCTTATGGGTATTTGGTAAGAAAATTTCAGTAATGTTTCTGTCCTATTTGGTTTGATCTTATTTCATACTATGTATAAGCAACATTTTATTTTATAACATATATCTAAGCAAAATAAACCATTTAAAAATACTACTTAACAGAATTGAGTATTAAATTACTAAATAGCACTTGTGTATGTATTGTTAGAACATTGTAAATGTAGCTAGACATGGTTGCACATGCCTGTAATCCCAGCACTTAAATAATAGCAGGAAGATCAGGAGTTCAAATTCATCTTCACCTATATAGTGAGTTTGGGGCAGCATGTTTCACATGAGACCGTCTCAAAACCCTCTTTCTTACCACCAGAAAAATAAAAACTCCAAGAAAATGAAAAAGACTTTAAGATTTTTTTTCCTATTCTTGGGAAAGACCTCATTTACAATACTAACTAAAACTGTTTTTTTTTTTTTTTTTTTTTTGGTTTTTCGAGATGGGGTTTCCCTGTGTAGCTTTGGAGCCTGTCCTGAAACTCACTCTGTAGACTAGGCTAGCTTCAAACTTACAGAGATCCTCCTGCCTCTGGCTCCTGAGTGCTGGAATTAAAGGAGTGTGCCACCAATGCCAGGCGAAACTGTATTCTTATAAATAGTAAGTTGCCACGGGAGGTCTTTGTATCTTCAAAACATCAGACTGAGATTTGATTATTCTGAACTATGTAATCTTCCAGTTTCAGGGTGATCTTGTGTCCAATACAAGGAATTATTTTGCTGGTATGAGGGCATAGAGATGTTATAAATATTTGCTGGCATAAAAGTCAGTCAAACTCTTTAAACAAAGAGATATTTTTCAGATTGAAGATTAATAATTATCAAAGGATGGCCACTTAATCAGTAAGCAAACGTGATGCAATCTGTGCCTCAAGGAGTTCAGTCCCTAGAGCCCCAGTTTTTTCTTTTCTTTTTTTTTTTTCTTCAGAAAGTTGTCATTATTTTTGGATGCTAATCGCTCTTTTTTTAAGTGGGCATAAATTACTGGCTGTTATTGTTATTTATGTATAGTACATTGAGTTTTGTCATTTAAAACAATTCCAGATTTTCTTATGTCAAAACTAGCAGTAAGCCAGGCATAAGCCTTTCAACAGTGATGAGGAGGCAGAAGGATTAGGAGTTCATGGCTAGCCTGGGGTATATATAACCCAATCTCAAAAGAAAACTTAAAACAAATTGTAATGATCCTATGTCATTTAGTTCTTCTAAAGAACAAATAAGAGAGTAATGTTGGTCCAATACCTGGCACAAAGTGACCACTGTTTATATTTAATCAAAAAAATAAACCCAACTCCTTAATCTGGTCAGTCTCTAGATAATTCAGTATGAATATGAACCAACTATGTATTGTGTAAAGTTCAAATTATTTAAAAATATAATAGAAGATCCCTTTTATAATGTCTATTAAAATGTTTGGTTCTCTGGGTAAAAAAGATGCAATTTGAATGTACAATGCTTTCTATATTCCCTTGTAGGTGCTATACATTTGCTGAAATGCCTTGGTATCAAAGAAGAATTGCTAAAGTGCTGTTTGCAAATCCTCCTAGTTCCACCTATGAGGAGGTAGTATGATGTCCTTTGTTAAGTTAGTAGCGATTTCTTAACTACAGTCCCATTCTACAGTACCCACACATATGGAGATCTGATTCTGTGAGGGATTTGAGCAAGTTTCTAATGATCCAATTCAACAATATCACAAAGACTTAATACTTAACTGTCCAGGACTGGTGAGTGTTTTTTTTTTTTTTTTTTTTTTTTTTTTTCCTGGCTGTTTAGATGAGTGGCTTATAATTCTGATATATTGCCAGAATTATAAAGTAGCTCATGGCTAAAATAGACCTCCATTTTCAATAGTAATCTGTATCACGTAAAAGTAAAAAATAGAACCAGAAGTATAGTGATTGTTACCTAGCACTTTTTAGAGATATTTTATATAGCCAAGTCATTCAGCAAAATGAAGAACATGCAAGAATTGATTAAAAAAAAAAACTTGATTGTGAAAGGCTCATAGTTTAAAGGCTGTTTGATTTTCCTATAAAAATAGAATTTGAAAAGAATATGTACATAAGATTTAAAGCCCCCACCTACTTACCCTTTGGATGCTGGGGTTTGAACCAGGATCTCACCCACTGACCCACCTTCCTAGCCTACTGGATGAAAATCTTGAGTTTACTTAGTCAGTTTTCAAAATATAAGGAACTTTGCAGATGAAAAAATTATCCTAGTATTTCTCCTATTGTATGTAGTAAGGAGCATTTAGTGTTGTTTGCCCCTAAGAATCTGTGGTATACAATCAGATGTTGAGGAACGTGGTTTCTTTCTCTTCCCAGACAAAACTAAACACACACACACACACACACACACACACACACACTTACTTACACATACATACCCCTCACAAAGTATAAGCCGTGAGTGAATTCATCATTTAATCATATCTAGTTTGTGTTAGAAGTGTTACTGTCATGACTTAAGAGAAAGGTAACCACTGAATTCCACATGATCAGTTCCTTAAATTTGTGCCAGGATAGTTTGGTACAAAATCTTAAGTAGCAACCAGGTAATTACTAGAAGTGATCCTCATTATTAAAATCCTACTTTTTGATGATTTAAAAGTGTTAAATTGAGCCTATGTTAATCTCCCTACTGAATTCATCATTTATTTTAATAATCATTTACTTCCTGACCCCTTTAATAATAATAAACCTTCAAGAAAATGTGGGGTTTTTTTTCTTTTTTTAAGTTATTGATTCTAATTCTTTCCATTTTATTTTACTCTTTGTATTAACAGGCCTTGAAATACTTTCACAGGGCAGAACAAGGTGAAATACTTTTACTTCAACTATTATATAATATTGTCTCATTGCTATGTCATAGAAAATTTTAAATCAAGATAAATATGTGCTGTATCTTTCACACTGGGTAATATAAAATACATTTACATTGAAAATGTATGTGTATTTCACATGCATGTATGTCTGTGCACCACTTGTATGCCTGGTGCCTCAGAGACCAGAAGAGGGCATCTCCTTTGGGCTGGAGTTAACAGTTGCGAGCTGCCATGTTAGTGCTGGGAATTGAACCCAGGTCCACTGGAAGAGCATTCACTGATCTTAATTATGAGTCCTCTCCTCAGCCTAAAATTTTAACTTATTTTTAAAAATAAAGATCACCTAAATATGTGTTGCACTTAAATTCAGAGTTCTAATTCTAGAATGTTCCCTTCATTTAATGTAATTTTTTTTTTTTTTCATGAGGAAGCTAGGACAAATGGTCTTTCTAACTTTATATTTTACAGTTAATTAGAGGCACTGAAATGGAAACAATTTAAAACCAGGCTAACTTGTTTTGGATGTTGCAACATATTGTATTCCATTGTGAAGGAGTTAATTTTTCTTACTTTGATTTTAAAATATGGCTACTTTTATAATACTGTTGCCTGTCTGTCCTACATATTTCCCCTTTAAAAATAAATCCTGGCACTGAGGTTGTAACTTAATGGTACAGTGCTTTGCTGACATGCCCACTGCCTTCAGTTC